CAAACTACCTTCATTCCTTTCATATTCCACTAGTGAAATGTAAGTTCCACTCGAACAGCTTCTTTCTACGAACTGCTGCTGTGTAGAACTGACTCCCAAGAGAATGCTTCCCCAATCACTACAATCTTAACCTTTTCAAGTATGGCAGAAACAAAATGCAGACACTTTTTGCCTATGGAACACTATTCCAGCTTCTTGCTTTCTTGTCAACTCCAATCTTCAAAAATTTAAATGCAATGTCAATCATCATCTTCTGTTTTCTTGAATCCTGTTCTTTTTATTGTCCTTTCTCTCAGTAATGTTTTCTCAGTTTCCTTCAATCAAATGTCTTTCATCCTCAGTAACCTCTTGTGTCTTAGTGGCTTGCTTTAGGTGAAATGATTAAAAAGAAAAATTGTAAAATTTTTATGATATTACTGTGTCTACAATAGCAATAAAATTAGAAATAACTTCTATATCCAGTGTCCCTTCAGAACATTGGCAATCATGACTCTCCATAATTTCCTTTTGTAGCTCTTAATAAATTCTGTCTTTTTGTTATCTCACCTATACCCCATTCAGCTTTCCATTATTTACACAAGCTTGCTAGGTGTTGTTTCTTTGTCCATCTTGCTTTCAGTCTGTCCTGTGAGTATCAAATTTTCTAAGCCCTCTTTCTTCATTATGTACCTTAGAAATTTCAACTATTCTAAGACAGGGGTTGTGTGTTATCTATTATAATTACTGTCCCATAACAGTTGATACATTTGCATGCACAATTCACAGAATAAATGTAGCAACTGAAGTGGTATTTAAAAAGATTATATAAATCAATTTATAAGGTGTTTATATTCAAACAGATTAACATTGTATTATAAACATTTAACCTGACATTTGTCTCTTTTGCCTCTGCAAAGGAATAAGTTCTAAATGCATCTACTAATATTTGTTGATTTTTTTTTTATACCAAACCAATTTTTTTTTTTTTAAATTAAAAAAATTAAAATATAAAAAAATAAAAAGATCTGTGTAAGTATAAAGATAAAAATTCACTTCAAACTTCAGTTTCGTACAGCTATTTTTAAAATTCAGCAAATCAAAAGCCTTCTTAATTTTGAATGGGACAAACAAGTTACAAGTGATCATTTATAAAAAGGTGTAGCTAACCTTATTTGACTCACCAAAATATAATCTGACTTTCAATTTGAAGATAAATTCAAGTCAGATTGCATAAACCCTTGACTAATCATTAAAAAGGAAATTGTGAGAATATATCAAAATTTTATGACAAACATAATAGACAATATTAAGACAATAATAGACAAGATTGTTTAGTTATAACTTGTGTGGTCCAGGTCAGGTAAATCGAGGCTAAAGGGATAATCAATGAGAAATCAGTGAGTTAAAGTCTACTCAGGTAGAAGTCAGAGGTAAGATGGAAAGAAGACTGGAGCGGGGGGTCAAGGGGAAGAGCAAGAAAAGAAAATGAGAGCAGAGTTCAAAATGATTATTTTTAATGAACATGGAAAAGAGCAGAAAAAAAAAAAAACAAGGGAGTAAAAGAAATAAATCAAAACAAAAGGATGAAGAGAGACTATATGCGCGCACACACATATTGATATATTGCCTAGTAGCTAGGGAAAAAAAAAATTTCATATATAGATATGCACTTCAAACTTGAATCAAATTATCGCTACCCACATTCATGACCCCACTGGGGTGTTTATGTGGAACTCCAACCCCTATTAGTGCTGTATCTATGGAACACTGACCACCCCCCACAACCCAGCATCATTCGGCATTGTATCTATGTGTTCATCATCGTAACTGTGGAACACTGCCCCCTTCCCATCATTCGGCATGATATCTGTGGAACACTGACCACTCTTCAGCATCATGCCCCCACTCTTCAGTGTTGTGTGTCCCCACTCTTCGGTGTTGTGTGTCCCCACTCTTCAGTGTTGTGTGTCCCCACTCTTCAGTGTTGTGTGTCCCCACTCTTCAGTGTTGTGTGTCCCCAACCACTGTTCAGCATTGTAAATGTAGAGCCCCATCCCTGTTTGACATTGTATCTGTGGAACCCTGACTCTTCAGCATAGTATCTGTGGAACCCTGCCTAACCTAGTATTTGTAAGTTAGTGTAACAGTGATGTACAAAGACATAACTTGCCTGCTTACATCCTGGTTGAATGTTCAAAATCAAGACAGGATTCATTTGTTAATTTTATATATCTGTCTGCTTTAGCATGATAAAAGTTATAGATAGAGAAGCAAAGAAAAACTAACAAAATCAGGACTGATCAATAAGTCTGTAGCCTGAATTTTTAACTGAAATTTTCCAGGGTTGTATCCGAAAGTCTTGTCAACCCTATATAATATAACTTTCTATTTCAACACTCTGCGGGGTATTATTATCAAGAAGAGAGTTTCACATGAACGATACCAGAATACCAATCAGCTGAAGGATACTGTTCAGAGAACCTTTGCAGCAATCAACAAAGCATAACTTTAATAAATAAACAATAACATATCACAGAGGACATGGCACCACATCATTTTGTGCCACAAAAACGATGGTGTTCCTACAGACCTTCTCGATGTGTGACAGCATCAATGAAAGTGAATTAACTGAATCCAGTACTTTGTATTACTGGTTCTTATATTGTTATCAATACTTTTTTAGTATGGGGGTGACAAGACATTCGGACCACCCTGTATATGATTAATCGAGAAGCAGTGGGTTAAGTGCTTTGACAAAGTGAGTGATTTGTTGAAAAATAAATATTAAATATCCACAGTGTAAAATATTTTTAAATATCCACAGTGTAAAAATCAATGCTTCTCCTAATCATTAGGCTGGAAAATAGCATTAGAAAATGTATAGAGAAGTCAGTAAATTACAGTGTATATTAAAAATCTTTTCTTTTCCGAGACCAAACCAGCCAATTGGAAAAAGTTAGGCATAATGTTATTACTATATTCTAGAAGGAAACAGATTTTAACACAAGCAAAATATTTCATTTAAACACATTTTTAGAAGGAATTAATGAATGTTATTCTTAATCCACATTATTATTCTAAATGTTATTTTTGTGGATACATGTGTCTGAGTAGACAGATCATACAGTGATTTCCCTGAGAAAGAAGGACACAGGTTCGAGCTGTCAGGTCACATATACTTTAAAATAATAAAGACAGAACATCTATTAAAACATGTGCATCCACAAAAATAACATTTAGAGTACACATTTCTATCTGTATCTATATCAATCAGCATCAATGTACTTGAGGGTCAAAAGTGGGGTTTAGAATAAGTGGGACAGGGTTGGAAAAAGTGATGTGAGTGTGTGGCCAAATGGCTAGCGTGTTAGTGTTCTGAGATCAGGGTTCATACCTCATCATAGTCAATGAGGGGAGTTCTTGATAATATTGTCTTGGGGAGCCACTCCCATCATGGGACACTGTTGGAATGCACCTGAAAATCATACCATTCCTTATGAATAAAAGTTATGTAGATAAAACTGTTTAGAGGTCATTAACGAAGTTGCTGGTACTAATCTAATGAACAAATAGATTGCCGACCAAGTCTAAAGAGCTTCTATCTAGGGATGATGTCTCGATAATAATAAAAAAAAAAACCTATCCTATCCTTCCTGGTCATTTATGTTGATGTAGCATCCTGAAAGACACAAAATGGCTGAAACCCTTGAAATACAAGCTCACAATCTACCAGAGGCAGCACATCATACTTATTATAAAACCCAGGTGTTGTGTGTGTGTTTCGTTTATATATTGGATCGATTTCCTACATTTTTCAACCGAGTTCAACAAAATTTCACAGGACTACATAAAATTACCTTGCGGTGGTTCTGACAGTGCCAAAAATTGAAAAAACAATTTTTTTTTCATGAAATCAATTTTGAAACATCGAGAACGAAAGGGAGACAACTCATATTGAGTTATACTTATTATAAAACCCAGGTTGTTTGTGAGTGTGTGTCTGTGTTTGTTTATATATGGGATCGGATTTCCTACATTTTTCAACCGATTTCAACAAAACTTCACTCTTTTTTTTTTTTGGCAGGTAGTGTTTTTTATTGTCTTGCACACTTTTTTTTCTTTATTTTTACATTCACAATGCTTTAAAAATTCCATTTACAAGACAATTGTTTATAATAAAATTCTATTCAATCGGTAGAAAACGATTGAAAACAATGTTTTTGTTTGAGTTTGGGTTTAACCAATACGTAAAAAAAAAAAAAAATAATAATAAAAAAAAAAATATAAACCTTACAAAATAGATTGCTAATGTGCTTCATTTGTTATTCTTTTCTTAACAGATCTTTGTGTATTATTTTATGTAGCCATGAACTGATTGCAAAAAGGCATTAACAATGTCAAAGTTTCACACTTGTCAAATTGTCCAAATGATCTTTTCTTCCCTATCTTTTATGTTTTAAAAATGCAGCAGATTATGTGACTAAACTATTATTTTGGCGTTGTTGCCACATCTGATCTGGTGCTTCTGTTAGAGATGCTTGATAAAATACTAATCTTTAAAAATGTCAGTGGTCCTCATCCAGCATCTCAGCTTCAGTTACTTTCCCATCACCATAACGTAGGTTTCCTGTCCCTTTTCTATAAATATTTTCAAATGTTCTGATGAGCTCTTTGGTACCTAGATTTTATAAATTTAAGCATACTACTAAATTGGCAGCAAAGTCTCATTATTTTACAGTTGATTTGTTGGTTGTTTTTGTTAGCGGAATGTCAGCCTCTATGGGTTATTTAATGCTGAAATCTAAATTTGTTTTGTACACAATTTTATTTTATTTTTGACCATAATACAGTGATACAAGTCTTACTAATTAACCCATAGCTGAAGGGAGAAGAGGTGGATTCATACCTTTCCCAAGAGTATTTGCACATAACTAAATATAATGAACCCAACTGGAATTGGAAGTTGGTTCTCTAATTAACAATTCCAAGTCATTATCCATTACACCACACACACACAAGCTTATGGCACCTAGAATTCCCAAGCAGTCACCCAGCTAGGTACCAACTAGGCTTGAGATGGCTTAACTTTGGTGATCATATGGAAACTAATGTTTCAACATGATTTGACCATAAGCCTTTTACAGTTGAAATGGATTATATGTAACCATAAGTTCTATGTTAACAGTTTCTTTTCTCGCACTTCTCGCTTGAGGAACTCTTTTCCAGCTTCTTGCTTTCCAGTCAAGGTTGATCATCAAAAATTTGAATGCAATGTCAATTGCTATCATAATTCATGTCCCTTCATTGTTCTCTCTTCTTAATGTTCTCTTTTTCTCATATTTTCCCACACTTTTTAACTCCTTGCATCTTAGTGGCCTTGTTGCCTTGCTTGGAGTGAAATGATTAATAAAAATAAAAAACTACTATAATTCAAATTAATCAAATTAAAATGGAGTGAATTATAATTTGAATAAAGTTTTAGAATCTCTATCAAATCAGAATTAAGTGTTTTTGAGGGTTTTTTTTTTTTACAATATTTCTACAAAAATAAATAAGTGTGGGGATGAGGAAGTTGTAATAACAGCTAGAGAATGGAATTTCTTTCCAAAATTAATAAATATGGTATTTATTAATATGGTAAAAGACGGTATACAGACCAGTCTATCTGTCCACACCTATATATCTGCATGAAAATATTTATTCATCGACAGACATCAATTACCATCTCAAAATAAAATACATATGAACAGATGTGCACAAATGTAATAAGATATATATATATATATATATATATATATATATGTGTGTGTGTGCTCACATACACAGACAATATAAATATACCAAAAATGTCAGCTAAGAAATAGCTGCATGCACCTGTTGCAGGTATCTGTCTAGTCAGATGCACCCTCCACACTGCCTGACCTGCATTTTGCATTTAGCCAGTGAAGGTGGTGGTTTGGAAGGGGAGGAGGTTGCTACCCTCTGGAAAATTGATGAGTGAGAAATGGTGGAAGACAGGCTAGGTGCATTTATCTGTGTGCAGCAGAAATAATTGTGCAAGCAGACAGTAAAAACAGTGGCATTTAGACTGCAGAAAAGAAAGAAAGCAAGCTGGGCCAAGCAGCTCTACATATGCACATGGCCACAGGCAGCCCTGGAGAAGGGCAGCTTGAAACAGGTGGGGGAGAGGAGAAACAGAATTGCACAAGGACAAGCATGAATATGCCATTTATAAACTTGATGATTGATGTACATTGCATATATATAGTCCTGTATATGCATATAGGTGATATGACAGACAAGTTTAACAAAAGAAGAGAGACAAAGTCGGTAAAGGGGGAGATGGAGATTACATTATATATACATGATAGATAGATAAGCTCAGCAAAGAGTCGGATTTAGAGAGATGGTTAGCAAAAAGTGAGATTTAGGGAGAGAGAAAAACAAGGTTGGCAATCCTGAGTTTAGAACTTGGAGCCTTAAACCTACTCTACCTGTTGATGAAAAGATATCCCTAGACATGGACAGTAGAACAACCTACATTTGCACAATGCTAGAGCAATCTTAGAAGTGCCTTTGTAATTTATTCAGAATTGTGTGTCTTACGTAACAAGTTAACTGTTGTTCATTGTCTGAAAAATCTTAGGAAAAATGGGTTTCACTATTGTTTTCTTTTTGTTTGACACACAAAAATATATATATTTTAGAACAAGATAATCATTAGTGATGAAAAATGAATTTATTACATGATATACTTTAAATTTGTGCTTTGGAGAGGAAGGATTGCCAGAATAGAGAAAGAAAAAAAGAAACGATGGGGTCTACCATTACCTTAAGTAGACAAACAGAAGTGTGTTTGATCTAAAATTTATCACATTTGCAGCTACAAAGGGAGATAAGCATATCACTTCCAATGAAGGAGAAAGAAGAAGAAAAAAAAAAAAAAAAAAAAAAAAAGGAAAAAAGCTGACTATGGAAACCAAAATGCAAATGAATAGAAATAAGATCTACAAGTCAGTTCAGGAAAGATCTCAAATTCTCTTTTGGGACATTAAGCTATGAAATGATTGGGTCATTAAGAGTTGTTGATGAGATCCTGGAAAGAGGTTCATAGAGAGTGGATGGAAGAGGTGGGGGGAGATCAAAATCTAGAACAACCAGGTGCATGAAGCAAAAGAGTTTATAGTAAATAAAAATAAAAATAAAAAAAAAAGATATCCACTATAAGTAGTTTTTAGTACCAATCATTAATGAACAGGCATACTCCAGAAACTAAGGATTTATTTTTTAATTCAATATTTAAAAAAAAAAAATTACCAGATTTAAATGGCTGTATTCCTGTTAAAGTGTGATTTCTTCATTTCTCCAAAATCCTATCATTAGACACCGTTTTCTATAAATTTTTCATATATATGCAAATGTCATGCAACCAGCACACAGAAGAAATATGAATCTATGCACACATCAGGATAATAGTGAAATAATTACACTCATGAAAGTTAAAATATACAATCATTTTTAACAAATTCTTACCATTATTAGTTTTTCACATATATGCGTTTAAATATTTTTTATAATAATATTAATATTTAATATTTAGTAATAGTTGGTGGATCTGATTATTTTATAATATCAAAACTAATTTTAGGTAGAGTAGACTTATATTTACCCATGCTGACCCAAAACGGTAAGGACTTAACAAAATGTGTTATTAGGTTTTCACGTGCATGTGTGTGTGTATATATATATATATAAGATTTTTTTTTTTACTAATGTTCACCCAATACAAGGCTCGAGAGCCACTCAAATTAGAGGGTTACAGTATGAAGTTGTATTAGCATAAAAAAGGGGCAAGAGGTGAAGTTCTTTGCAGGAAAACTGTTTTTTTCTCAAATTCTAGACTTGAGGAGGTCAAGGTTTAATTAGTGACTAAAATTTCAGAGTTCAATCAGAGACTTCACAATGAAACAGAAACAGTCCTGAACAGGAAACAAGAGATAAACCACTACTACAGTTCAAAATAAATGGGGATGAGTATGAACCAGATGATATGCTAACCTATCTATTTCTATTATTATCATTATTAATATTAACACTTTAACATTTAACCCATGCTATAAATATTGCCTCTAAATGTTCAACCCGTCATAACCTGCCCTATGTATACTCTGTCACAATATATGACGACATCATTGCAAATAACAGCCATGCAAGCAGTAAAACTTTGAGAGCAAATATTTTACAGAGCAGGTTTGAGTGTGTCGAATGCTAAGGGGTTAAACCAGGGGTTAAAACATATAGCCCACAAGGAACCATTTTCGTGACCGATATTTACCTCAAATTTTACTAAGCTTAATAAATTTGTCTGCAGTCTTCATCCATATCTTTGCAGTAGTAGTATTGGGCTTGACCTACCTAACAATTTTAAGAGTTTACAGTCACATCATGTTGAAACACTGATTCCTGGATGATTACTGAAGTTAAGCAACATTAAGCCTGCTGCAAACTTGGATGTGCAGGTGGTGCAATGAATAATGGCTCAGAATTGTTAATCGGAGAGCCAAGTTCCAATTCTAGTTAGGTTCATTATATTCACTTACACGCAAATACCCTTGGGAAAAGGTATGAATTTACCTCTTGTACCACCAGTTATGGGTTAATTAGTAAAATTTGTATCATTATCACAAAAAAAAAAAAAAAAATTCTTGCAATCTAAAAATATTTTCTGGCTTTAAATAAACTGCAAAGGAATGATAAGCTGTAGAAAAGGAATCAATCAATAAATTTTAAGTCAGCTGAATCTGATCATTCCAGGGAAGGGTAGAAAACTGAACCTCTCATCATCGTGTATGCTTTGTCAGTTACCTGATAATAGAGGGTACAAAACTACTTTGCAACAATGTCTGTTTTTTTTTTTTTTTAAATTACCCTGTATGAGGGGGTGCAGGTTCAAAACCTGCCACAAGGTACACTTTCTTCATGATGACTTTCAAGTGAATAGGAGGGTAGACAAATTTAAGCCATTTAAAAAACAGGGATGTCTACTCAAGCACATTCATCCACTAAGTATAATATTTAAAGTAATATGAAATAATGTTGGATTATAATTAAAATCCATTATTTCCTGTTATATAAAGTATATAATCGATTAGATGCCAGTCTTTTGATCTGGGATACATTGAGGTAGTTTTATCTATCTTGATGAAAACCATATTGGTAATAAAGAGATAAAATTCACTGCAGAAAGAAAACACAAATTTACTATTCAAGTTTCTAGTACCATAGGGGAGCAATAACCAAGTCTTATAATGAGATCCCATTAAAATCAACCATTAACAAAAACTTATCAAGATATTTTGCACTTAATACAACTGAAACTAACTTTTCACAGAAGCTGTTGATTCAGTAGCTTTATCAGAATCATTGTAGGGGTAAAGTCATATATATTTGTGCAGCAACTAAAATGATTACCACATTTGGTGGAGGACTTTTATATAGTTCTAAAATGAAAATGCCAATGCAAGGGAGATAGCTAGTGAACAAAATTACAGACATTATAAAAAAGAACACACATGCAAACTTGGACTATTACATATAAAATTAGAACTTTTTTTATAGTATTTTTTAAAAAAAAAAATCACATTAACTCTTATAAATTGAAAGAAACTGACATCTCAAGAGTAATGGTTAATGAGCTTGTCTTGTAAAATATTTCTAGCTAATAGTAAGTTTAATTCTCAATGGCTTCAACATTATTGTGGCCTTTGGGCAAAAGGCAGGCTCAAAAGGTTTTTTTTAGAATAATTCAAAACTATGTATGTGTGGTGTAGGAAAATGCAAAAATAGGACTCACCATGTATGATTGTTAGCAAGAGAAAAATCCCAATATGGGAGCTATGAATTGAAGATGCCAAAAATCAAGCAAGTATAGAATTTTAAGTATCTGGATAATGTTTTAATTTTTAATCAATTCACCCCCAAGCAAAGCAATAATACCACTAAGTTGCAAGGGGCTACCGGCAGTGAAAGAGAACAGAAAGTCTTTAGAAAGAGCTGGAAACTCAATCCTAAACAGGAAACAAAAGATAAACTTCTACTCCTTCAAGGAGGAGTGTGAACCGGACGATCAACATCATGGCTTAATCTTGCAAACAAAGATTTTGGAGATGACTCCACATCCACAATAGGAATGTGAGCAGCTGGCAAGCCTCCTGCCCAAGACTGACAGTGTTTTTTTGAGGTTTTTTTTTTGCATAAGAATAACAAATAGCTGCAGGAAACACAAACACAGTCAGCAGAATCTGCTTCACATTTTTAGCAAGAAATTCTACAAGTGATGAGGTTCCCTTTTCATGATAATCAATTTTCAATTGATTTTCTTCTCAATCAATTAACCATTCAATAAACCCAGTTTATTTTGTAAGTAAACCCATAAAAGTTACAAATAACAAAATTCAAAAAATGTTTTTTTTCTTACTATTGTTGCCGTATACAAAGCCAAAGAGGCACTCAAAGTAGAGGATTAAAAATGATTTTTTTTGTAAGAGTGTACAAGGAGGAAGCAAGAGGTGGAGGTTATGAGAATATGTAGGATAGATAACAGTTGACCTTTAGACTTGAAGAGGTTAAAATTTCAGTGACCAGGGAAATATTTTCTTGGAAGTCTGTTCATTCAAGTGCTGAACATTTAAAAGTAACCCAATTTGGCAATCCTGGCAGATGTCAAAACTGAACCAAAATCAATCAAAGAAGACTGAATTTATCGATAAAAGAAAATATGACCTTTGACATTTTTTTTTTTTTTTTTTAAGATGCAGGTGGCTTTGAAAAATATCCTTAATGTCGTTTTAACAAAACATCTAGCTTTAAAAAAACAAAAGCAACTGCAGCAAATTAACATTTCTCTCTGCCCAGCAGCAAATACAAGCAGCAGTCAACCTGGTGGATTTTTATAGGTAAAACCTATACCATCCCCACCTGTTATTTTATTTTACAAAACCTAGTCAACAGGCATCAAAGAATGCTCTTTTTGCATAGAATACAAAATATAGCTGTTCTATGTACCATGTCCCTCCAGGATGTGGTCGATCATGGCTCTCCACAATTTCCCATCCTTGGTAGTTCTTAGTAATTTTTGAGGTTTTACCATCTTTTTGATATGTAAAGCAAGTGGTCTGTTGCCTTCAATGTCCTGTGAGTATCAAATTTTCCAAACTCTTTTCTCATTATGTGTGACAAAAATTTCAGCCATCTTTTTCTGATTCTAAATAGAAATGTCTTTTTGCTGCTCACATGTTCAGTCTATGCCATGTAAAAGTTCATTTCTGCTGGCTCCAGTCTCCTATTCATCTATTAGGAAATTGTTCAGTATTTAGTGCTATAGAGCAGGACTGATATTACACAGCATCTCAGCACTAACAAAAATTTTGTGAGAATGTAATTGTTACAGTTAAAAAATAATGACAGCAATATCTTTGAAAGTAAAAAAAAAAAAACTTACATATGAAGTATTTTTTTTTAATTTGTTAAATATATTTTTTAAAATATTTTAAGTTTAGATGAGAATAATATTAAATTATGATAAAGCATAATTCTAATGATTACATAGTTTGGCACAAGACCATGAGCATACAGAACCAAATAAGGATCAAACTTATTACTTAGCAGTAATGGGTAATTAGTAAATCAGCTTACTAATGAACACCACACCACAGCAAGGAGCCTTCACATAATTTAACACACAAAGGATTTGCAGACATATGTTTATAGGGACATTTGTCCTTGTTTTGGTTTCAGGACCCCCCCTTTCCAAGTTTGTAAAAGTATTTTTGATATGTTCTGTGTGTGTGTGTGTGTGTGGAGATAAGACAAAATGGAAAAGCTCATAAACAATCTATTTTACTGACCTCTGTTGATCTCAGCTTCTTTGGAATGAAAGACAAAATTTCATGTAAGGAAAAGTGTTGTGATATTTGAAGATGGGCAATAAATTAAATTACATTTGGTGTATTTCTTCCTTCCCCACCTCTTTCTCACTCTCATATATTATATATATATATATATATATATATATTGGCCAAAGCAGAAATACCACCCATATAATAGCAAGACATTAGTGGCAACGGTGTCTTCATAGCTCATCTTATTATGTTGGAAGATATTTCTGAGAAGTATTTCTGCCATACTGTGTGTGTGTGTGTGTGTATGGTTTTAATTCCTTCCTATCTGAGGCCCAATTTTTCTTTAGTAGGACTTAACAATTTAGGTCATTTGTTATTAATTTTACTGTTTACAAAAAAATGAAAAAGAAACAGGGATAGCAATTTAAACGCATGTAGCCACTAAAATAATGTTTATGGTAATATATATATATATATATATGTATGTGTGTGTGTATGTTAGAATGACTCCATTGATAAAACCATTACTATCCTAAAGAAGTTATTCAAAGTTACCTTAAGAGCTTCTTTTTTATTATTATTTTGTCATATGAATATGATTACTCACTCTCGTATATAAAATATATGAATAACAAGAATCTGGGCTTGTTTGAAGAAATTTTAAATCTGGCCTGAGACAGTAACTGGCTTATTTTGTGGGAAAAGTCTAAAAAAAAAAAAAAAAATAAATAAATAAATAAAATAAATAAAAAAGATAGAGTGTACCATAAACACTAAGTACTATTTTTTTTTTTAAATACTAAGTACTATTTTTTTTTTTTTAAATAAAGAAATTCATACAACAGAAAGCTACAGTAATTATCACAGTAATGACAATTTTTATTTATTTGTTTACATTAATATCAGTATCAAAGGATTAATAAATTTTAAATAGGAAAAAAATAAATATTTCAAGCAGAGGCAAGAATCCAGAACTAACCAAAAATGATCATAAATCTTTGGAAATAATGATCAACAGCCCAAAGTTTTCAGATTCTTTCATCAGTCAAGTCTTTTAGCCACGACTACTGCATCAGCAAAAGGTACAAGCCTTAACAGAAGTGAGGATCAAATTACCTGCCAATTGGTAACAAGTTTCTTTAGTATTCAAGAAGTTATCAGATTGTGAAAAAAAAAAAAAAAAAGAAAAAAAAAAAGGTGCACCCATTGCTAGGGAGGAGGTATGGTCAGGCTACTTAACCTACAAATGGTGCCAATTGCCTAGGCAGGGAGACATCAGATATGTCAGCCACAATACAAAGACTGCCACATAACACCCACCAGAGTCTAAAAAAAATTCAAGTGGGATGCAAAATGGCTCAAACTAATAAATGCTAACTTTATATTAAAAATAAATAAATAAAAAACACAACAACAAAAGTACTGGAAAATGTTTACTCAAAAAAAAAAAAAAAAAAAAAAAAATCACCCTCATAGATGATGTCCTTGCCCACTGTTTTATCAATCTGTCATTTTTGCAGAGGACCACCCTGATTGTGAGGAAAACCTACACTTTGCTTTTATAAACCTTGTAGTTTTTGCAGACAATATACAATGGTAAAAAAATGTCCTTTAGATTAAAACAAGACAAAAAGCAAGATTCTAAGCATCATGATTTTGATTAATCACCAACAAAATAAAAACAGCTTCCAAATCTACACTGAATCTTTTGTAAGATTCATAAAAAGCAACTGCCATTTGTAGGTTTGGCTTAATGGTTAAAAATGAGGATTACCATCAGAGAGGCTTAAAGAGCCAAGTTGCAGAGAAATTACAACTATAAACTATCAATCTATATACTTTTAAAATCTGTCATATTCAGCCAGTTGACATTCAAAGGAAACATGTTGACTGGTTGAAATTTTTAAGCAAAAATCTAGTATGTATAACCAAAAGTCTTTGAAACATCTTAACTCTTTGTGTTCAATCCCAACAGTCCTCATGTTTTCTTTTACATCTGCTGTTGCATGAGAAAAATTGTTTGGGAGCAATCTTCCAGGTGGGTATGACTTACTTGAAATACCTACCTTGAAAATCAGAATTCAAAATACAGGCTTTTTTCTGGGTTCAAATACTGACCACGAGCACCAGTAGGAAATTCAAACAATGTTCAGATTACAAATATCAAATACTGACAACTTAAATGTAAAACAAGTTATTAGAGAGAGAGAGAGAGAGAGAGAGAGAGAGTAATGATAGTTAGAAAGTGAAAGAAGAACCAGCTTAGAACAAGAGGGAGAGAGAGAATAATGATAGCCACAGAAAGAGAAAGAGCAAAACTGATAAATTTAGAGAGAAAGAGGTGGAGGAAAACATAGGCTCCCCCAATCCAGAAAATATAATGGTCATTTTTACACAATATTCTTGAATCTGTATAAGATTTACTAAGTACATTGAGTGTTTTCCATAGACAATGGTATTCAGTCCTGTCAAGATTCAAAGTATAAAGACTTTCTAAGCCAATATCTTTTAGCTGACATGTGTACCTTGGAGTTTCAAATAGACAGGCCAGGAAAATTAGTCTTTTTTGGAGTGGGGTGGTCCACCCAGGATATCTTTATTCCAACCACCATTTATTAAATATTCAGAAAACTTCCCCACATCTCTTACTTTAGGCTGTGAACATTGTAGAAGAAAACATTTCATTACTGAAAATTATAAATTATTTATTAAAAAGAAATTCAAGCCACTTCTTTTATTCCAATGATCTATTTAAAACTCAAACATGGGGCAAAGACTAAATAATGTCTTTGGAAAACAGCAGTCTATGGAGGACAAAATGAAGACAAAGTGTGCATTTCAAAAAGAGGAACTTTAAGCATTTAATATCTTATTTATATGCCATGTCTTTTCAGGACCAGGACATAGGTGATCATGATTCACAATAACTTCTTTAGCTTTATAGTAACAAAAGACAGGAAGTTATGGAAAGTCAATCTAAATGAATGTAAATAACATTTGCCATTTTACCTATTTTTGTCCTCTGTTCACTCAGAAACTCATCAAGTAGATTATTCAATATGCGTACCAATAACATCAGTATGCATACCAATACCACCAGTACATATTTCAGTATACATCAGTATATGTCCCAATACCATGTGGCTCATCAGTAATAAATCCTTTAATTAATGTCATTTGATGCTTAACAGGTACAATATGAAAAACATTAATTAATATGTTTTGACACTGAATGTGTTAAGAAAAACATTTGGTATCTATTAAAAACTTGAAACATTGATAAGTCTTTTTGTTGTTCAAGGGTCATTTGATTGAGACCAAGAAGTATATGTGTGTGTTATCTGAGCCAAAACATACAGATGCCTGTGTACATAGTTCTTGACATTAGACAATTTAGATCAAAGTGTAAATAAAATTAGTTTTTAACACTATTTTGGCTGAGAGATGATTGCAACTCATTAAAAAAAAAAAAAAAAAAAAAAAAAAAAAAAAAAAAGAGCCTTGTTAAAATGGATTTTGCAACTAAAAGAAAGTCTTCCATTTAAAAAGAAAAAGAAGGAAAACTTAATGCTTCAACAAACTAACCAACCTTGTAAGTAAAAACATCACACAATCAACTGATAATTTTTAAAACTTGATATGTCTGAATGAAGTAGCTAAGTGGTTTTGGCTATTATAACCAAGTAGAATATGGTAGCAGTAATCGACTGGTACGCATCGTAGTCGCAGGTAAGAAGTGTAGATCAATAGCGTAGTCCAATGGGCGTCGTTATAGACTTAGCTCTCAGACCAAGGCTCTGACGTACCTACACGTCCGTCGGTATTTATGACGGACACCAGCCAATCATATTCCAGTGAGGGGAAACACAGGTGTATGCATATATATATTATATGCATATATATATTATATCAAAACTAAATCACAATATGGGGAATGAGGAACCATGAATACTAGTACTCTTAGTAGAAATGAGAGATTTCCTTAATCCAAGCTCTGGCTAGATCCATTGTTGGTTTAATCTTTAACACTTTTACTGCTGCAATGTTATGGCATTGTTGCCTGGATATACTGGCCTGCTTCAGGCAAAAAAAAATAGGATTTATTAGAAATAAATGACACTCATGGCAATTGGCATTTTGGTTCTGAAGCTAATCAGCTGTAATTTTTTTCAAACATAAACCCTCTCAATCCTAATGGAATATGCATGTCTTAAGAAAATATGTTAATAATAACCAGTGATTAATTTTTGTCAATAATCCCAGTTGTTTGTTATACAATACTGTTGGTACATTTTTGTCTCACCACAAAAAAATTAATGTGTTTAAGAACTACACATTGGATCTAAAAAGGAGCATTTACTGAAAGTCTCATGAAGTCATTAATGAAACCAAACAAGCAAAAGAAAGGGATTAAAAGGTTATTATTGGAAACTTAGATCTAGAACCACCAGTTTAATTTGCATTTGGCTAGATTTAAAAAGAAAGGAATGTCATCAAGTGCTTCTATAACCTACCATTTTTTTGCTTTTTTTTTTTTTTTTTTTTTTTTTAAGGAGAATATCTATCGCACAATTCCTACCCTTTCAACACCCAGTGACCCCAATTCTCTTTACTGAATTCCTCCTCTCCTCAAATGCAGTAACCTCCTTCCTCCAGTTTGAGACTTTGAGTGGCATTAAAAGTTTTAAAAACAAATAAATAATTAAAAAAGAAAGAATTAATGAATCAATCAAGATTTAAGAAGGCTAGTATAAATTACTACTTTTGAAGAGAGAGAGAGAGAGAGAGATGGAAGGAAGGAGGGAGAGGGGGGGAGAGAGGGGGTGCTTAATGATAGACACAGAATGTGAAAGAAGAAAAACAGCTGAGAGAGAGAGAGAGAGAGAGATAAATGAAAGCAAAAAGGATAATTGAGAAGCACCAAAGGAGAGATCGGAAAAAGATATTTGCCTGAGTCAGGTTCATCAAACTCTATTGTCACAAAATAACAACAGTCATCAAGACAGGACTAGGTCATTGGGGGCAAGGGTGACTGGGCACTCATATTCCACCCTAATTAGAAATGTTTACACTCTTGCACACCAAGGTTCCTTTATATATATATTTTATCCTTTTTAGAGCTTTTGAAATTTTGGTTAAAAATTTAGTTTTTCTTGTGCCAGTGGATGACCATAAATTAGTATGGGGAATTTTAGCATCATTTTGTGATGCAAAACACACTGATATAGAAATTTTGCAGATAATTGTCAGATTTTAATGAAACTTTCAACTTTCATTCAAAATGGATGAAATTATTTTTGAAATGTTTCTTTTTTTTGAATAGTCTTTGTAATTTTTTTTTTTTTTTTACATCTGTTAACTCACACTTAATTTTATGAAATAAGAAATTTATTAGTTATAAGGACAAGTCCTCAGAAAATTTAAATCATGAAATTTTTTGGTCAAACAGTTACAGAAATTCTGCTCTGAACTGTAAAATAAAAAAATGAAATAAAAATTATTTACTTAGAAAACTTGCTTTTATGTATAGAATATATTATGGACACAATAGTCTTAAGAAAAAACTTTTTTTCGATGAATAATGATTTTAACAAGAATCGTTTTCATTTTTTTTTAATTTTATTTAGAATAATTCATAAACTTTTACATTTTTTAAAGTTTAGTATTAATTTGTAGCAGTCAAGTGAGATTGTTATTAAATTAAGACTGTATTAAGACTGCATTTACTAATTATAAATGGAAAAGCTCACTACAATTCAACAACCCCTAATATTTTAAAAAGAATTTTGAATTTAATTATGTGTGTATAAATGTGTCAATTTTTGTAAATACAGATGTCCAAACATGACATTATCAGAAAATAAGATCAGTAACTATAGTAAAGTTATAATTTATTGGTAGTTTTTTTTTTTAACATTTCCTCAACAATCACCTTCATAAATTAGACTATAAAGCCAAAGTGCCTAAAATACAATAAAATATTAGATTGATTAGATTAGTGAGGAGTTAAAAAAATATTAGATAAAAAAGGTATTTACATTGTATTCATCATGTAATTGTTAGTTATGTCCACCTTAGAAAAAAAAATTACCAATTCTATCAAAAAAATTAACAAGACAAATAGAAACACCCACCTCCATGTTAAAAAAGGTTTTTCTGCAATATTTTAAGTTAAAAGTAATATTTGTTTCCAATCAGATTAATTAAACCTTAAATCAGATAATCTTCCTCAAATAAAGTTTCAGAAAAGTATATTTTAGTTTTGAAAGATTTTTAATAAAGATTGTGCTGACAGCTTTGTCAATATTGATGATTTTAGCATTTTACAAAAAATAAAATAAAAAAATAAAAAACTCATTCCAATCAATTTAAATTCAGTTTGAAATACAGCAAAGTATTTTGCTTACTGGAAATGTAAAAAATAAATTGTTAATTTGAAATTAAAATTAAAATAAAAGCTTCATTTTTAAATATATATGAGAAAAGGACATATAAATTTTCATATATCAAGAAAAATTTTAGGGAAATCAATAACAAAGTGGAAAAATTTTCATGTGATACATTTCATCCCTTAGGACAAGGGTCAGCAACCTACGGCCTGTGGGCCAGATCCGGCCTGCGAAGGCATTTTGACCAGCCCGCAAGCCAGTTATCTTTCATGAGACTTATTTTACCAAGTTACGTTGATTACGTTTAATGTCAAATAATGGATACATATTTGTTATGACCCTTGGCTACATTAAAAAATAACAGAAGCGAAAGGAACAATAAAGTGAAAGAGGCCAGGGAGGGACTCACATGTGAGGTAGCAGAAATCTAAAGACAGTTAAACATACCTGCATTATACATACATGCCTCATGTCTATGTATGTAAGTGTATATGTTTGCAACTATTTGTACTCGTATGTATGGCTATATGTGCTTCGTTTTTGTTTGATGTGTGTGTGGTTCATTTGTGGAACAATTTTCAATAACAGTTTCAAATCTACACGTCATAATTTCATCCATTTCACTTCAGTTGATTTTTTTCACTTTGAAGTATCTTGACGTTCCTTGAGGAAATGTAATTTTTGTTAGGTGTTTTTAATTTTAGATTTTCTTTTGTTTTTCTGATTTCTCAATGTTTATTTTCATTATGGTTTTAAATATTTACGTTGACAGGGTCTGCATATGTAATTTTCCTTAATTTTTCATTAATGGCCTTCGTCCGCCCGCAACCCGTCATTATAACACAATCCGCCTATGGGTCAAATGAGTTGCCGGCCCCTGCCTTAGTACTTTATTGGACTAAAAAGCTTTTTAGTTCAATAAAGTCCTAAAGAATAAAATGCATCACACAATCTTTTTTCTCCACTTTGTCATAATTTTCCCCTAATATAAATATATATATATATATATATATATATATATATATATATATATATATATATATATATATATATATATATATATTCCATGTATCTATTTTATTCATTTAGATCCTATTATTATTCTTCTATTGACCCATGGGATATAGCAGCTTTTTTATTACTGGAAAGCTTAAAAACAAAAGACAGATTCTAGTTATAAAATCACCCAAATGCATTGAACTATCTTTGAATATTTTTTTTTTTTTTCTTAAATTCATTTTCAGATAGATGCAGTTTGTTCAGGTCCAAACACATGATTGACATCTCTTCAGTAATTCTTCTAGGTGTGCACTTTTAAGAGTGCATAATATCTCAAATATGTGCCTGTCTTTCAAATGAGTTAGGTAGGAGGGACAGAAAGAGAAAGAGAGAAAAAAAAAAAGAACCAATACACTCTCGCTTTAGATACAGACATGGGCCTTATATTATCAATATGTAAGAATCACATATTCACATACAGAATGGAATCCAAATTACATGCATGCACAAATACATATTAAAATATGCAAACACACAAATAACTGAATCTATTAATGTTGCCATTCATGGCAACAGAAATTCCATGGTTTAAAAGTTTAAATGCACAACCATGCGTGAACAAAACCATTTCAATTACACACATACACAAGTCATACATTTGAAAAAAATAAAAATACTAGGTTTTTTTGTTTTCCTTCTACAATGAACAGTATTCACCTAACTAGAGTATTGTCCATAACACCTGTACAGTGTACACATGACACCAAGTCAAATATAGGATCCTAGCACACACAAGACACTGCTAAGTTATGCAAATTTATGCAAAAACAGAGACAGAGTGAGAAGCCTAAAGAATATCATTGTGAATTCAGTTCTTTCCAAAAAAAAATGTGAGAATTTATAGTGACAATGTTCATTCACAAATTTAAATCCCTCCCCACAACCACTACCATTATGTTTACTATTACAAAAGCCAGATGGAAAATCTGAAAAATCCTCTTGATCTTTTATCCATCCCCACACACAACACCTGATTTCATACAACTCAGCAATCATGGAATTTTTGACAAGAATTCAGTCCATCCTTTTCTCTTCTTTTAAATAGAGAGTAAGAAAAAAAAAAAAAAATGATGGTGGTGGATGGGAAAAGGTTAATTCAAATTTTATATGCTTGATGACCCAGAAGCATCTAACTATCCTTTTTTTCATTCAGTATTAGCAAGCAACTATCGCTAGCATTGATTTTACTAAACTTTAAGAATTAATGTTCCTGTAACTTAATTTTATCATTTGTTTGAGGTTAAGAGATGAGATTTAGAGAACCGGATATTTCATTCAACCCACTATTCTAATTTTTACTGTTTTGATCACAGATTTTAGCTAGTGAACTCGACAACTGCCATTACACCCACTAACCTGAGGGAAGTTTGGGAGGAAATTTTTATTATTTCAGGAAATTGGTTCTATGGCTTTAATCCTCTGTTAATCACAGCTACGGCACTTCCTAGAGATTAAATCTGTGACAATTTTTAATGCAGAAATTTATGCTCATTTCAGCATTTCCCGCTCTCTAAAATGACCTTTTGAACATCACCCCTACATTTATCAGCCTAAGAGAGAAGAGAAATGCTTTATTTTGAACATCACCTCTCCCTTCACCACTCTAAGAGAAAGAATTGCTTTATTTTATTGACAAATTTAAAGAAGATACTGTTCCCTCAAAACGAAAAATATTATTCAATGGTTGAATATTTTTCTGTTTAATCACAGTTAAGGATTAACTTTTTCTTTTTTTTCTTTTTTTTTTTTTTAACAGAATTGATCCCAATTTCTTGTTTCTTAATCATCGATTACTTACGTTTTTCAAACAACTTAATTAAGGATTACTTCAGCATCCTCCTTTAAGAAAGTGGCCATTTGAATATCATTGTCCAATTCACACTCCTCCCCAATCTTTTGAATAGGACTAGAGATTCTTCTTGTTTCCTGTTTAGGATTGGGTTTCTAGTCCCTTCCAAAATCTACTTCCACTCGATACTCCTAACCTCTCTGCTTGAACTTTGACATTTTATTTGCTAATTAAATCTTAACCTCTTCAAGTCTAGAATTAGTTGTCTATCTTTCCTATTGTCTTGCTTTTTTCCTATGCTAATCCAACTCCAAACAGTAACCCTCTACTTTGAGTGGCTCTTGGGCATTGCATTGGGTGAACATTAGTAAAGAAATATTCACCCCCACAACAAGATTTGTCAAGGAAGCAACCTCCTGAGTAAAGCAAATTTTCTTTTTACGTTACAAATAAGGTTCATTCATATGAATACCTAAATTTTGTAAATGCATTATCACTAAATTTATTTTGACATCTCTAAGCTTACTTGTCAGGATTTTTTTTTTCTGCATATCTGGTCTAATTCATCACACTTGTCACACCGAGCTTCATACTTTAAAAGTTTCTTTTGTTATAACTAATGAATAACTGGCAATATGTCCTCCACAAACAGAGGAAAAATGATAGCTTGGAACATGTTGTAAGCTATGGATTATCCCCCCTTATTTAAACAT